GTTGTGACCTGAAGTTCACTATTAAAAGGGGTCATGCAAGGAAAAATCATGGAATTATTGGTTATAAAGATGATTGTTGGCATATCCTATGCAATATATCTAAATTGAATAATGGTACCAGATAAAAATTATAGATGGGAATGAAGCTTGTGTATCAACCATTATCATGTGTAATCAATAAACGATTTAATTCTCTTGGAAAAAAAAATTAAAAAGGAAGAGACAACAGCCAGCTCCACACAGGAAGGCGGGCAGGAGAGCTCTCTTAACAAAGACGTCTGATGGTGGCGTGTCCCGCCTGGGGAGGCAGGGAGGCCCCTGTCTCAGTAGCGAGACCAGAACGTCCGAGCTGGGGAGGCGCGAGGAGGGAGGGGAGGTCTGGCCCTGCGCGGAGCCGGCTCAGGAGGCGCCTGCCGGTGCTGGGGGTGGGGGGCTGATCTGGGGAGCACCCGCCCGGCCGACTCCAAGGAGGCCGATCTCAGCGCTGGACTCTCCTCTCCCGCGTCTGCCAGGAGGGCGCCGGGGAAGGGCTGGGCGCAGCCGTGGGGTGGAAGGAAATCCGGTTGTTTAGTCCGACACTCTCGGCAGGCGGGAGTGCAGTGGGGGTGGGCTCTGTGGTGTCAGGACTTTCTGCTGAACCAGATCAAGACAGCGAAAGCCATGGGCATGTTTCACTCAAACTTGCAGTGAAAATCGGCCAATTAAAAATGCTACTTCCAAATTTTTAACAGATGTTTATTTGTGAAATCGCGGCCTGTATATGCGCACCTTACCTGCACCTGTGCTGGGGGAACTGGTCCCACCTGCTGATACGCTGTCCTGCCCCGGGGTCCCGGCTCCCAGGTGCCCAGCCCAGGCCCTCGCTGGCTGGTGGCTCCCGGCTCCCCGCAGACGCCTCCTGGGCCTGGGGGTGACCTGCCCCTCAGCAGGCAGCTGCCGCCTCTGTCCCCACAGCCCCCGGGCCTCAGCCCCCCATGGACTCAGGGCCTGGTCTGCACCTGCTCCCCAGCAGGCGGGCGGGACCCCTCAGCCCCGGCTGGGCTCTGTCCCCTCCGGCCCAGTCCGAGGACAGGGGACACAGGTCCCCTCTGCTCTGTGCCCTGACTGCGGGTTGGGGCTCGGGGGCAGGAGGCGTCTACACAGCAGGACACGGCGACTGGGCTCCTCCGTGGGCAGAGCTCAGAGGGTTCCAGAACTCCAAGCAGCCGCCTGCCTCAGAGCCAGCCTGGGGTGGGGGCAGCGGAGCTGTGGCTGCCTGAACCCCGGCCCTGGGGGGGGGGTTGGCCCTGCCCTGGGGACAGCAGATGGCAGGCTCAGGGGCGGGGACTCGGCCCTTCCTCTGCAGTGTCGTGTTGACCAAGGATGACAGCTGATTAACATGCAAACGGCGATGGAACAGTTGGCGGAAGCTCCTGCCACCCCAGTGGCTGCCGTCTAAGCTGTGGACGGCCCCTGACTCTTGACACTGTGGGGGGGTGCTCTTCCTGGGGAGGTGACAGCTGCCTGTCCCGGCTCCGCCCCCGCGCTGTCCGCCCCGTCCCCTCCCGCTGGCTCTGCCTGTCCAGGACAGCCTAGGTGCTGGCGGGAGGAGCAGGGCAGGGGGGCGGCTGGACCCAGCGGTCCTGTCTGATTTACTTTCTTTCTTTCTTTTTTTTTTTTGAGACAGAGTCTTGCTTTCTTGCCCAGGCTAGAGTG